TACTTTCCCCTTTAGGATCAGGAGAAAGAAAAGGACGCCCATTCTTGCTACACCTATTCAATATTGTACTGTAGATTGCAGCCATTCAGAGAAGATGGAATACATAAATAAAATGCACAAAAATCAAAAATAAAGAAGTAACTTTGTATTTGCAGACAACATGATAAATTACATAGAAAATCCTCAGTAATCTATAAAACTACTACTATAATTAACAAGTGAATTTAGCAAGGTGACATGAAACAAGGAAAATATGAAAATATCCACTGGAAATTGAAACAACTAGAAAGTGAATTTTTTAATATTCCATTTAAAATAGCACCAAGACCCCCACAAAACACTTAGGAATAAATTTAACCCAAATGACATATAAGACCTTTACACTGAAAAATGCAAAAAGAAGCCATTTTTTTTCAAATTAAAGTATTTAATTCTGCACATATAAAATTATTATATAGAAGACTATTTCAACCCAAGCCCTATTATTTTATAATATAGTTATTTGTATTATTTTACAGTATAGGTGTTATAATGTCACTTGATGTGTGAAGTTGAAGAAGACAAATATAAAAACCCGCTTAATGTAACAATGTTTGAAGAAAGGCATCACATTCCTGACTTACAGAAGAGAGTAATTTCCATGGGAAGGCTCTTGAAGGAGAGCACCATTTAATGAAGTTCTTTTGGAATGTACAGAAGTTCAACATTATACAGACAAATAAAAATATATCTCCAAAAAATTCTGTGTAAAGCACAGTAGCAAATATCTTCTTATATTTATTATTATACTATTTCCAATTCTAGGTAATAATAGTCTATTTTGAAAAACAGACAATCTCATTTCTCCTTTCAAAGACTAATTTTTTATTAATAATATTGTGCAGAGATGAAAAAAATAATAGATTATGAATTTTCCAATATAAACTTTACCCAATTAAAATCATTATTTTTAATGTTAGGAAACATTAGTCATCTTTCTTAAAAGTGATAAATACATCAGAGATGACCCCAATATGAAAGACTCGGATTACTTTCTGGGTTGTTATCAAGACCCACTTGGTCTGACTTTCAACTGAACATTTGAGTCAAGTAATTATACAATTATTTGAGTATAATGACACTATGATCTTGACTTGAAAACATACCTAAAATAAATGGATGAACGAGTAAATAAATATCATCTGCTATATTTGGCAGTAGCATTGTTTTTCTTCTTCAACTTCTAGAAAGATTAATCAATTATATATTATCCTATCATCTTTTACCTATTTCTGTTACAGTAACTGCCACTTTGCATAAAGTAACATGTCTATATGTTGATTCTCCTACTTTCCCATGAACTTCTCTGAAGGAGGAGACAATATGTTATTCATCTCCAAATCATCATATACGTTAATTTTTTAAACCTAAATAGATGTACAATTTTCAGGTATTGGAATATTGAATACTGTTAAAATGGCACTTCTCACCAAATTGATAATTTTAAGGGAACTCCAATCTAACTCAAACATGCCTTTTTGAGAAAATTGACATAAAAGTTGATCCTAAGTTTTCTTGGAAAGGAACCTAGAATATCCAGAACAATCCTAACAAAAAATCAAGGTAAAAACACCACTGACAAAAGAATCGTTATACAGATAAAGTAATGAAGAAAGTATGGCACTGGCAGAAGGACTGACAAAATGGAGAAGAGTGGAACGAAAATGGTATACTTAAGAAGCATAACATATTTAGATAGAATCTTTTAGAAGCTAGCTGTAACATCACTGGGACAAATACGTCAAAGTAAATTTGGCCTTACTGTAGTTTGGGAACAATTTCAGTTACTTAAATCTTCCTAAAATCAAAAGATTGTATTTAATAATACATAAGATGCCAATACAAGATAAAAAGGTCCTAAAGTTGAAAGGCAAATGAGACCAACAATGACACAAATACATCAAATAATTTTTCAGATTTTTATATGAAGGTGCTTTTGTGAAAATAACATTGCCTGCAAATTCTGAATTCTTTTTACTATATGCCAATATACAGCTTTTATACTACCATCAAGACAGAAAAGCACTAGCTTTTCTTTATTTTGCTGTTACAAGCCAAATAAAAAACTTCCATGCTGAAAGAGAAAGAAAGATAAACATATTGCATTAAAAAAAAATTTCCAAGGGACAAGAAAAGTCAGAGAACAGATATTTGGAGGGGAACCTAAAATAATCAGATATTGGTCCAAAGGAACAAATGAACTTAATGAAACTACAGGCCTCTTGAACTCAAAGCTTCATCATCTGGAAGCTTTAAAACGTATTTTGTGTTTCTAGATAAAGTATAGTGATAAAGTAGCCTTTCAGTAGGAAAGACTGAAACTGCATCCCTTCATTTCATCATACATAAAAATCAACTCATGATGGATTAAATATTTAAACTATTAAAAATCCCAGCAGAAAGCTTAGGACATTCTGAACATAGGCCTTGGCAAAGATTTCGTGATGAAGTCTCCAAAAGCAATTGCAACAAAAACAAAAATAGAGAAGTGGGACCTAATTAAACTAAACAGTTTCTATATGGCAAAAGAAACTATCAACACAGTAAACAGAAAGCCTGCAGAATGGGAGAAAATTTTTGCAAACTATGTATCCAACAAAGTTCTAATATCCAGAATCTATAAGGTACTTAAACAAATCAACAAACAAAATACAAGCAACCCTACTAACAAAAGGACAAAGGACATGAACAGACACTTCTCAAAAGAAGACATACAGGCAGACAGCAAGCATATGAAAAAATATTGGACATCACTAATCATCAGAGGAAAAAATATCAAAACCACAATAAGATAGCATCTTACACCAGTCAGAATGGCTATTATTAAAAAGTAAGAAAATAACCAATGTTGGTGAGGTTGTAGAGAAAAGGGAATGCTTATATACTGCTCATGGGAATGTAAATTAGTTTAGCCACTGTGGAAAACAGTTGGGAAATTTTATGAAGAAATTAAAACAGAATTACCATTTGACCCAACAATCCCAATACTGGGCATATACCCAAAGGAATATAAATCATTCTACCATAAAGACACATGCATGCGTTATGTTCACTGCAGCACTATTTATAATAGCAAAGACATTGAATCAACCTAGATGCCCACCAATGGTAGACAGCATAAAGAAAATGTGGTACCTATACGCCATGGAATACTATGTAACCATAAAAAATAATTAAATCTTGTCCTTTGCAGCAACATGAATGCAGCTGAAGGCCATTGTCCTCTACAAATTAATGCAGAAACAGAAAACCAAATACCACATGTTTTCACTTACAAGTGGGAGCTAAACATTGAGCACATATGGACACAAAGGGAGGAACAGGAGACACCAGAGCTTATTTGAGGGTGGAAGGTGGAAAAACCACCTATCAGGTACTATGCTCACTATCTGGATGCAAAATCATTTGTACACCAAACCCCAGAGATGTGGAATTTACCCAGGTAACAAACCTGTACGTGTACCTCCTGAATGTAAAAGAAAAAACAAGAATAAATAAAAATGATATAAGAAAGGTCATAGAGATACCACCTTGAGCCCATCTTCAAGGAAAATAACAAAATGGGTCAGATTCCTTCCCCTACTCCTAATCCCTATGCTTGAACACACATTCCAACCCCATTTCCAAATAAATTATCTTAGTTCAGGGTCTGTGACTGCTTAAGATTGGTAGAGGGTAAAAGATGTGTTAGGTAATAACTGACTGATGTTTAACACAGTACTCACAGATTAAAAACTGCTCTCTTCATGGTGCCTCAAACCTAAATCTTATTTCAAGAGTTAAAAAAAAAGAAAACCTTTCCCATGGAAGATAGGTAATGCTTAAGAAAAATTTTTACATGGAAATGTAAGATAATATGCGAACTGATGACTCAGACCAGCAGTTCTCAACCTGCAGGGACCGGTTTTGTGAAAAGACAATTTTTCCACAGACCAGGGAGTGGGGGATAGTTTCAGGATGACTCAAGCACATTACATTTATTGTGTACTTTACTTCTATTATTATTACATTTTAATAAATGATGAAATAATTATACAACTCACCATAATGTAGAATCAGTGAAAGTTCTGAGCATGCTTTCCTGCAACTAGAAGGTCCTATCTGGGGTTGACAGGAGATAGTGACGGGTCATCAGGCATTAGATTCTCATAAGGAGTACACGATCTAGATCCCTCATATGCACCGTTCACAATAGGGTTCACACTCTTGTAAGAATCTAATGCTGCCCTTGATCTGATCTGACAGGAGGAGGCAGATCTCAGGCAGTAATGCAAGTGATGGGGATGGGGGACTGTGAACCCAGATGAAGCTTCATGCTTGCCTGCCACTCACTCCCTGCTGCATGGCCTGGTTCTTAGCAGGCCACAGATTAGTACCAGTCTGTGGCCAAGGAGTTGGGATGCCTGACTTAAACTACATTTTAAAATACTACTTTAAAAAAAGTATTTATGGTTAGTAAATTATAATTAGGCATAGGAAAATACTGTCATAAATTTATTGAACATGAACAATATGTTAAGTATAATGTAAAAACAAGTAATTTAAATTGCTTCTAGAAGATACAGCATAATTTTAATCCTAAGCATAGATACAGGATGCTGGGTATAGGGCAAAGCAATATGAAAATAGATTATAGAGATTATAGTCCAAATTTGCTTGTTGTTTATGATGGACTATGGTAACATGGACAGTATTCTATCTGAATAATAATTATAAATTAGTTACCAATAGCATAAGGCCAAACAAATAGAAAAACCATTTTCTTCATATAAGCAATTACAAAAGGCTAAATTTGAAAGCATTTTATAAAGATAAATTCTATTGATATATTTTATTAGTGGGTAAAGTTTTACTTTTATTGTTGAAATCCTTAACTGTGGGGATTCAATGTATTCGCTTACTTGCACGTGGAGCATGTTCATATAACTTGTTTTTCTTTTTACCAGCCTCACATAACATACCTTAGCTAGTCTTCTGGAAGATTCACAGTTACGGTCTGTACATGGCTTGGGTCCTTTTCCAGTGTCTAGAGATGAAACTGAGGAAATATATTTTATCATGAGTCTAATGTATTCTGTCACAATATTTAAATTGGCTTTTGAAAAATGAAATGATACTTTAATATTTTTCTTCCATTAAAACAGTAAGCAATTCTCCTGGTGCTAAATGACTCTTTTTAGCAAAAAACCTAAGCCAAAAATTTGCTTTCTATAAATCATGAAAACCTTATTTATTCAGTGAACTTAAGAATTAATCAACTTACTTGAGAATGTTTGGCTGTTGATTTTGTAAAATCTGAACAACAGATTTATTTCAATTTTAATAACATAATTAGGTATACGTATGTATACATTTATGTTCATTCATTCAATACTGTATTTAACTCTATATAATATACTGTGTGTCATTTAATTCAATTCTTAATCTCTAGCTGCAAAATGACAGAGGTAGGATAAACTATGATCACAATACTGGAAAGGGAATGAGGTTGGACTACAGTAGCAGCCATGGTAACTAAAATGATGAATATTTATATTCAAGTATATATTAATTTATTTAGTAAATAATTGCCAAGAGCCTACTATGTGTCAGAAATTACTCAAGGTGCTTGGGATACATAAGTCAACAAAATCAACAAAATCCCATTGAATTTAGCAATGTAGAAATGAGTATTGTCTCTGCAAGATCATCTGAGAAACATTATTATACTGCAAGACTTAAAAAATGCATGGAAAGAAATCTGATTTGTAGCCTGAGTTGTATAGGAAGTCAACTAATAAACATAGGTAGAATGTAAAATAACATTTGAGGCTTCTACTCTCTCATTTGTAAAACAAGGATCTGAATAATGTGATTTTTGTCAACCTTTCCAGTTATGAGGAAATGTTTAAAAACAAATACTTCACCCAAGCAACCAAAATCTCTACAATTTATCTACTACCAATCTTGACAATTTTGTTTTTCCCATAACTCTATTTGTAGGCTATTTTCTATTCATTCTAAATATGCTCTATGGTGTCTGTGTATATGACTTTCAGTTGTTCATTTTCCATAGAATTCTTTCAAAACACCAATAATTTTTCACAGGAATCCTTAATTATTCTTCTCCTTAAAAACATCATCACTTCCTTAGAATCCATAAAACACTTGGTAACTCTTCTACAGTATTTATATAAGTTGTACTATTATTACATGAATACTTTCTTTTTACTATAACATAATCTTGAAGAGGGACCTTTACTCTTCATTACCAACATTTACCTAGTATGTTATGTAAAATATGTCTGATGGACAACTGCTGATATGAAGAGCATAAAATTTATCATAAAAGTATGAAAATATGCAGAGTATATTCTCAGAATACCAGATAATCTTTGTTTTGTTGTTTCAACATATTTCTTTCATACCTTCCCAAACCCATACACGATGTGAAACTTCACTCTTGCCATCTGCATGATATTACAAGGCACTATAAAATATTACAGACAACACAATCCATCCTGTGATTTTATAAAATCAGATCAGTTAATTTGAGACAGAGCTCCAATTAGGTTCACGGACTTGGGGGAGAAAAAGTTTTATTTATATTCTATTTTTACCTTAGGTCCTTTTAAAATGAGGCCAAAGAAAAGTTAAATCTCTAAATTTATGAATCAGAAATATACATAGAGTTACGAAAAGCACTAGCAAACGTAGCTAGGTCTTTTAAATATTATTCACCTAAGATACAGCTCTTGAAAGAACTGTCCATAAAGTAATTCAGAAGGTGGCAGATCAGAGTCTACCAATACATCATAACATGATTATGAGATTGAATTATCATGATGATGTAAAATTTTCTTATTTTTGAACCCTTATAAAAATTTAAAGCAATTTAAAAAATTGATTAAGGTTACCATTCATGAAACTAATGCAAAACTGTCAGAAACCACAACATAGAATCAAAAGATATATGAAGTCTTTTCTTATCTATCTTTTCAGAATCAGTATACATAAAAGATTGCTAGAGTAACAAATATCTAAGAGACTCTTTCAGTCCAAATCCAATATTAATGGCATTACCAGGCAACAGGCTATCCATCCCCACTACATCAAGCAAACCACACGACACTCATGTTCTCTGCATCAGCTATCTTCTCCTGAGCTTGTAGCATATCCCCTCTTTATTTAGGCTAGCTGACTAACCTCATCCTGTATAAAATCACCTAGCTTTTTGTAAGATAAGTTTTCTATGAGATTAAAAATTAACGAAGATAAGAATGATGCCAGCAAAAATAGTAGAGAAGAAAATTCCTGGCCACATCTTTCCATAGAAACATTGAAAACAATGAACAAAAATAGTCAGAATGAACTTTTGTCAGAACTCCAGAAAATGATCAAATGTTTTACAACAACCAAGAGAATGCTAAATCAACAAAGACGACTTCAACATAGCATTTAAGAAAATCTTTGTCAAGTCAGTATCTGACTACAAAGGTTGAAGAGAATTCAAAGGTTAAAAATGAACAAAAGTTGAAGTAAATGGAAGACTGACTCTAGAGAACATGACAAAAGATGTAGAAAATTATGAAACAAACAACTACAATCTGCACAAGCAACAACCATACACACTGAAGAGGGAGAAGTATCTGATTTCAAAAGTATCCATTAAAATAGTTTAAAATGTAAAGTTTTCAAAAAAAAAGTAGGTTTGTAAAGAAACAAGAAGGTATGGTCCATTCACAGAGAACAAAAAATAATAGAAATCGTCCCTGAGGAAACAGACATTGGACTTGCTAGACAAAAACTCTAAATCAGCTCTCTTAAATATGCTCAAAGAGCTAAAGAAAATTATGAATGAAGAACCAAATGATACCTTCACAAATAGAGAATATCAATAAAGCAAAATAAGTTACAGGACAAAATCTAATAAAAATTATGGAGCAGAAAATTGTAGCAACTGTAATGAGGACTTCATCAAGATTTGCAACAACAGATTTGAGCAAGCAAAAGAAAGAATCAGTGAACTTGAAGATAGTTTACTGAAATTATACAGTCAGAGAAGAAGAAAAAAAAATTAAGGGAAGAGAATCTAAGACATCTGGGTAACAACATCAAGTGTACCACCATATACATGGTGGGTATTGTAGAAGGAGAGAAAAGTGAGAAAGTGGCAAAAAGAGTATTTGAAGAAATAATGGCCAAAAGTTCCCAAATTTGATAAAACACATGAATCTACATATACAAGATAAATAAAATCTACATAGGGTAAATACAAGGAATTCCACACCGAGACAAATTATAATGAAACTTTCAAAAATCAAAGACAGGAGCTCCTAGGTTGCCGAACGTGCAGAGGTACTGGGCGGTAGCATGCCCGCTCCAGGCCTCTTGCCACATGTTTTGCCCTGTGCATCTCTTCGTTCTGGCTGTATAGCTGTATGTTCTTTAATATCATTTATAATAAATGGGCAACCATTTTTTTAAAAATCAAAGACAAAGAGAGAATCTTAAAAGCAGCAAGAAAGAAGTAATTTGCCACATACTAGGTGTCCACAATAAGATGAACAACTGATTTCTCATGAAAAACCACACAAGATAGAAAGCAGGGGGATGATATAAAGAACCGCAATAAAAACACTTCAATCAAGAATCCTGAATCTAGCAAAATAAGCTTTCGAAACTGAAGGAGAATCTAAGGTCTTCCAAAAATGAACAGCTGATGAGGAATAAATAGTAACTTGATACTAGACACAAAAAAAGAATACTGGCAAAAGTAACCACATAGGAGTACATATGCGTAAATATAAAAGGTAACTGTAGATGAATATAAAAGTTAGTATTTTTGCATTCATCTTTTTGATATTATAATAATGAAAAAATAAAACGATAATTATAAATCTATGTTACTGGATACACAATATATAGTAATGTAATTAAGAACAAGAATATAGAGGAGTAACCTTCATAGGAGCAGAGTTTTGGAATACTATTATAACTAAACTGGAATTAATTCAAACTAGTTTGTTATGAGTTTGAAATTCTAATCGTAGTTCTCAAGATAATCACCAAGAAAGTTAATAAAATAAAATAAGAAGGAAATTTCAATGGTACTCTATAAACACAAAAGTTAGTAACAGGGATAATGGAACAAAAAAGACATGAGACAACTTCTGGGACAACTTCTGGTTTCTATTTGGCATCTAAGAAACTTGTCAGTTGTCATGCCTGTATCCACAACAACAAAAATATCTGCAACTTTTCTTAGAGCCATCAGAAAGTTGAGGTCACTGAGAAAACTATAGCTTCCAAAAATGGAAGATAGGTGCATATGGAGAATAACAACTTACCAGGAGCGGAAGCCTGCTACTGGAACCTTTACCAGGATAACTTAAATTATAACTGAGGGACCTAAGAAGTTCAGTGGGGGCAAGCTCCACAGTTAAAACTCCAATGGGGCCAATTCTTAGGTGGCGGTGTCGGGCTTCCAAACTTTCATGAGTTTTACGTTCAGGAAACCTAATAGGTTCTCAGGGTTAAGACTGGAGAAAAATCTGGTGCTTCTGGCAAAGGGAAGGAGAAAAGTAACCACTTAGAAGTAAACCAAAACAAAGTACAACAAAAGCATCTGAAGTACAACGTATTTTGAACTAAACCCTGCCTCAAGAGTATAAAGTTTCATTTTTACCAGAGCCTCAATGACTCGGGGGAAGGGAAATACCAAATTCAAACTCCCTCTAGCCTTCTCAGTGTAAACTGAGAAAGAGAAGCATTTCTGAAGGTCTCAGACAAAAAATATAGGCTCTCTAAAAAAACTGAGAGCAAATCACAGACTTATAGGACGCTTAACCTCATATATGTATATATTACCAATATATTTACAGAGTTACTTATAATGCCATGGTATTACAGTGGAAAGCATTTCAAGTCTTATTCAAGAAAAAGTGTTTATATCACCCAAAGACCATAGGAAAGACAAAAACAAGAAGATAAAAAAAAATGTAGCTTCTGAAACCTAGTACTACAATAAACAGTAAACAAAGCCCAAATCCTAGCCAG